TATCTCAGTAGATACTCTTTAAAGTAGGGGTAATATGTACACAGCTCTTTAGCTAGATATGCTTTCCTGATAAGACATCTGTCCAGAGAGAAGCCACTTTGTAAACTGAATTTAGAGATCTGTTCAAGTGACATCCACTTTGTTTACAAATCTGGTGTTATCACTTAAAGTCATTTCATGAATTTTATGCCTTCCTCTAATTTGAAATGTGTTACAGGTTGTATGTGTGTGTGTGTGTGTGTGTGTGTGTGTGTGTGTGTGCATGCGCATGTGCACATGAGCATGTTTGTATGCATGTGTGTAATCTGCCAATATTGCATTAGTATTTTCTTCTACCTGAATTTGATGTCATTTTTTTCTTTCAAGCCTCCAGGAAGACACTTTTTAGTTTATTTCATAGTGACTACTTAAGATTGAGAAGAGACCCAAATTCAAGCAAGAAAGTTATCTATTCTAGACACCATATAACTAGTAGATTTGCATTCAGGTCATTTATTCCATAAGACCTGATCTCYGTAACCTGTATATTATTTGTATGCCCTTGATTAATAAGGGATTAAGATTTTTCTATGGCCTTTATATGGTGCTATAGTGGATTATTCCATTCATTTGACCAACATTTCWAGCTGTCATTTCTTTTTATTAATGATTTTACTATAAATATCCCTATTACTTCCAAAAAGACTAAAACATATGATGAATGAGATCTCTTTTTAAAAATCATTCATAAGTCATTGTGTTGAAAATATTATTTGGAGCTTCAGATTTTATTTACACTGTAAATGATAATGAATTTTTAACAAGGACCCTGTTTGGACAGTCTTGGCCTGAGAAGATCATCTGGTATGTGTGAAAGGGAATGGAGATTTTTTTCCCCAGTGGCTTTACTCTTGTTGAGTGTGGCAGGTATTTCTTGGAGTTATTTACTAGCTAAACCTAGCCATCTTTTATAGCAAATACTATCTCTGTGCAAATGATGAGAGGAGAAGGAGAGATGTTTTAATAGGCTAACTGAAGCAAGAATGAGGAACAAGGAAGTGGAGGAGCATTACACTGACCTGCCACCAATATTGTTTCTTAACCACAGAGTCTTCTTGTTGTTGGGGTTTTTCTTAAGGCATTCCTGAATGTAGTTTAAACTGATTTCCTATTGTCTTTGGCAGAACCATTCATTTTATTAGGATCTAGAAGAATTTGACTCTTGGTTAAAGGTGCTGTAGTCAAATGCATCCATACAAAGCACATCTCTCTAGCTACCAAAGATATTGCTGAGATATTTAGAACATTGGCCTTTCAGTTGTCAATATTTTGAGGTGTGTGATGAGTAAATGGAATAGCCTTACATCTTTCAGTGGTAGAACTGTCAAGAAGAGTTTGTCTTTTTAGCCCCATACCCCCCAAAGGTAGACTATTTCAGAATCCATTACAGAGGAAATAAACACTTGAATTTTACCTAAAGATGAGCCTAAGCAACCATTTGCCCTTTATTGATGTCAAAAGTATTTCTTTGCCAAGCTCTGAAATGCACCTTCAAAAACTACTGAAATATCCAAGAACTTTAGTGATGAGCTACAAATGGACTTTGGTATTGATAAATACAAGTCAATATGTATAGTGAAAGGACAACTCACGGTGATAAATGGGCCCATCATCAGTAAAAATCAAATTATTGACTATCTAGGGCAAGGAAAAAAATCTGTCTATAGCTAACATCTACAGGTGAGAAGAATTAGCCAACAACAGCAATTCAGGAAAGGTTCAAAGAGACAAGTAAGGAGAATTCATTAAAAATACATACCAAGCAGGCAGCAACATTAACAAATACTCTGTGGCCCCAGAATGCTGTATTTCTTCCATCATACCTGTGTTCACTTTTGGGGGAATGAGCTCCCCTTGGGCTTCCCACATACTCAAAGGGAGTTTAATTCAGATTTCTCCTCTGCACTACCTTATTRTAAAGGAATTCTCTTGTGCACTCCTAAAATGTGTACTGCTCTAAGGAAATTTTTTCTAATGCTTCTTAACTAGTTCATCGTCTTTCAACTAGATCACAAGTTGTATGAGGGCACATTAAAAGTGCCTTCATTTCTTTACCCACAGAGTCTGGCAAAGAGCTCTACCCATAAGAAGTACTAGATCAATATTTGTTGATTTCACCATTTTTGAAATGATTCATTAGAGAAGCCTTGGTCACACATCATGTCAGAGTTTAATGATGAAACATTGGCAGGAAACACCCAAAAGAACAATTGCAAGAATTAGTCTATCAAACAAACAACAAAGAGCAGAATGGCAGTAATTAACCTCTCCAAAGCCTGCTGTTCCCAAATGGCAAAGTGTAGTCATTTCTTCTACAGTAAATTTAATTGGACACTCTATGAACTACCCAGTAAAAATGACAAATCTAACACGGCTTCAAATCTGGAAGCTATTATGTGTAATTAAGCAACATATCTGAAGGATAATCCTTTCACTCCCCTACTCTCACACAAACCACACCCTCAAAAACCAGAGGTAAAGGCAAAATTAGCTGCATGGTTCCTACTGGTGTGAATTTAATGAAGATGATGCAGCTGAAAAGTACATCTAATTCTAGTTTTCTTGAGAGATTTGGAACTTCACTTCATGCTGGGTCTACTTTATTGCCACTAAAAATGGTTGTAGGCATGTGCTTTATTGTTCTAATATGTATCCTCTTTGTCCTTGAGATCTCTAGTTTAGAATGAATCTTTAAATATCTGCTGCTTGATAAATATTTGCTGGAGAAATGATTAAATGAATGAATGTAGTAAAGTGTTAAATTAGGAATGAACAATATATTGGATGACAGTATAATGCATTTGCCCAAATAGAGGTACTATTTCATTGACTTTTAGTAAAAGATTTAGCTACATGATTGATTCCCTGTTATAAATACCAATGTAAATACTTTCAGGAAATTAACAAGTAAAATATAGAGAGATAGAAATCATTAAAATGGGCCAGAAAATTTTGACCAATATAATAGTTTTCTGCAGCTTTGATGCATTTAACTATCCACTTAAACATCTCCCAGAAATCTAAGGATTCAAAAATAATCCACACCTGATTTAAAATGAGGAGAATTAAATTCAAGGCAGCTAGAATAGTGACTACTTAGGCCATACTTGGTATGCCTCTTCTTCCAAATCACAGACTAACTAACCCACATCACCATTTGCAAATATACATCCATGATCTCARATGGGTTTAAGCAAGCAACTGAACAGATCCGGCAGAAAGATAATTGAAAGCATATATTCTCTTGGGTCAGAGGAACATCTAGCCTGGTACCTCTGCTTCATTCATTTGCTCATTCATTCATTTCACAACTCCTTTGGGAATATTTTCTATAGTCCAGGTACTGTCACACAGAAATRAATGAAGCAGGTATGGTATTTGGTTTTGCATGTTGTTTTTAGAAAATTCAAATGTATGAAGTGAAAAAAAATCAGGTTATTTGTTTAAAATAAGAATTTCAYAATTTTCCTGAATATTGTTCTCAGACAAAAGTCTGTAAGAGAAGCAGGGAATTTAAACTGCTTTTATTTTAATAGAACAAAGTGCTGTTTATATACTGAGAGGGCTGGTAAAATGATCTGGAGGGGCTGTTTGACCAGAATTATGTTACTAGCTTCCTTTAAAGTATGTCTATGTGGTCCTCCTRTTTTCATCACCACTGTTACTCAAGCTCCATTAAAACTCATGGAGGAGAGCAGCAGTTGTGAGCACTGCTAATGCTGCTTGGATTAGCAGGGAACCATTGTGTCACTCATCCAGACTGTGAAGCAAAGGTCTCCAGCTTCAGTGCTGCTCTCTCATCTTCTAATGGAGGTTTAGCAACAGTAACCCTGAGCTAACAAACATATTCCCTATGTGATTCTTGTGTGTGCGTGCATGCGAGTGTGCATGTGCCTGTGTACATGTGCATAGGTGTGTATTTTGTCTATTGCATTTAAAACTTACAAATATGGYACGTGTTATCAACATCTGAAGACACTGTAGTAGTGATTACTGCAGCAAAATAGTAAAATTCCATTGTACTCAATCGTGTGTGTGTGTGTGTGTATGTGTGTGTATGTGTGTGTGTTTAATAGTATTTAACTTCAGAATGGTTTAAGTGGGACMTGATATGTGTGATTGGAGGCTGCTTTATTTTGTTTTTTCACTGAATTTCTTCATGAAGACAAAGCCCACTTTTCCCTGACAGATAATTACTAGAACAAATGATATATGGGAATATATTACTTACAGAGATAATTTAGACCAACTGTTATGGGAAAATGCAGAAACCTGAGTTAGTTTCTTGAATAGAGTTAGTGAGTATAGTATGTTTATAGAAAGTTTGGACTCCTTCCCTAACTTCTGTTTCTGGTTATAATTCCTACTTAGTAAACAATATTTCATCCCAAGTTGTTAAATGCTTTCCATTCAAAACACCAGCCCTCTGTATCATTTTCAGTGTATTCATTAAGATTTACTTTTTAAAAGACTTTTTTTGAGTGTGTGTTTAGTGCCATTATTTTTATTTAATGAAAGAGAACCAAAATGCATATGAAGTGTTCATTAGCTGTGATTTGTACCACCAAAGGAAGCCTTGCCACCATCGTAGAACTGATCTTTCTAATTGAGTAGCCTGATGTTCTCTATGCCCTGTTGCTGTTAATTGACTATATTGTTTTAGATTTATGCATTAAAAATACGATTTCCACTTCGAAGGCATCACTTTGTTACTTTGTAGCTTTTAAGCTGATGCCATGAACTTATTTTTCTTCTAAGATAAAGTCGCATCTATAGATTTTTCAACTAATTACATGTCTGCCAATAAATACTTAGAGGATACATTTTATTTCAATTTATTATTTGTGTTTACATAGAGTATCCCTGGAAATATCTGTAGAACTGAAAAGAAATGTYTTAATGGTGTTTGCTACTACTTTTTCATGGCTCTTTCTCTTTCTTTTCTCTCTCTTTTTTAATAGCTCCAGTCAGTCCGGTCAAGCATGACAGCAACTCAAACTCGGCAAACTTCCAAGATGCTGAGGACATGCCTGACAGATGTGTCTTGGAAGAGTCTGAGAGTCCAGGTGAAAGCCATTTAAAAATAGTCAAGTATAAAATGATAAATTTGACACAGCTTTGGGGTCCTTGGAAGGGTGGGGGAGAGGACATTGTAATGCTGTTTTCTCTTAGCAGCTGCACTGTCAAATTAATGGTCACCTCCAGAGGTCACAGTGTGGAGCTGTTATCTTTTCCTCTTTCATCAAGAATTCAGTTGGAGGAAGTACAAAGGCTTCATGACTGAGAAGGGAAGCTGACACTATTAGTTCATTATCATCAATTTTAGGCTATACTGGTTAACATACAGAGAGATTGGGAAATGAGAGAAATGTTGACATTTTAAATATTTCAAATAATGAGATCTAACAAGAGTCAAGCAGACATGGAGAGATGAAGAGAAAAGAGGAACAAATTGTCATCCTTTCAAATATATTTACCTTTCTAAATACAAACAGCACTCTCAATGGGAAGAAGATTTTAGCATGACCTTGTCAAACAAAAGAAAAGAAGATGGCAACCCTTCCTCTTGCAATGAAATTTACTCTATGTCAAAGTCACTTGTGCTTATATTTTTCTTTGTGGGAAGAACAGACGGAGATGTACCAGAAGGATATAGCCAGAAACACTTGAGCATGGATTTGTGTGGTTTTGTTTTGGGTTTGTTTTGAAGTATGCCTAGTCTTAATTACTAGTTAATTAAAAGAAAAAAAAAACCTTGCAAAAGTTGAAGTGACATTTTTGGATCACTATAAAGCCATTAGATGCTAGAAGGTACCTTATTACCATGAATGAAGGAGTTAGATATCTTCCCCACAGAATATTTCTCTTTCCTGTTTTATCTGGCTACTGTGTACCCTCTACCCTCTCACATCTTTGTGTGCTGATCCATGTATCATATTTTTGATTCATCCTCTCTGTGGCCTGTCAGCTTAGTTAAGAGATTTCCAAATCTTGTAGCCTTCACTGACAGGGGGCAGCTGCAAACAGTCCCCTGATCCTTCCCYGAGGAGAGCTACTGAGATTTAATTTTCAGTGAAAGGTGCAGCCTGCAATCTATGTCAGGTCCCCTAAGTCATCTAGGAACCCCAATAGGCCCAGTGGCTCTGGCATTGTATATCAGCCCCCTCCACTACACCAAGATTTCTCAGAAGATGAACTACTGTTGTGCTGTGTGCCCATTTCAACACCCTCCTTTTACTTCAGTATTCCGTAGCAGGGAGAAACGACACCTCTAGCAATGATGGCAAATTTAAATGAGCAAATTAACCTCAGCCTCTCTCCTAATAGCCAAAAGAAAAATGTAGATCACTGGTGAGGGTAATGGTAGGTGTTAAATTTTTGTAATAAAAGTTTTTTTAAAAATTACTTTTAGTTTGAACTAAAATTGCCTAGTTCTAACTTGATTTTTTTAAAGTGTCTTAATAAAACATTTCTTATTAGCCATTTTGCCAGGCAGTTAAATTCCTGAGTCAGGTGTTCACCTTGACTCATGGTTTCATTGTTTTTGACAAGAACAGATCAGCTTTATACCATTCCTTTTGCCCCTTAATGTGAATGGAATTGTAGTGAGATTCAAATGYAACATACTCTGTCTGACTGATGCAAACAAAGGACATATCGAAAAAGAAAGATTAATCAGAAAATATAGGTGCTGATAAAGAATCTTAACTTAAAGAGTGAGTACTGTTCTATACATGGGACATCATTAAACTGGTAATAAAGAATGAATTACTCTGGCTTTTTTCTCTGTCCATTCCTGCATTTTAAGACATCTTGCCTTATAGGCCTAGAAACCTCTGGAGGGTTCACTACTGGTCTCACTGCCTTCCACTGAGAATTTGTGGCTTGGTTGTCATGGAGACATCGTATTTCTCCAAGAATTGCTCATATTGATCCGTGGCCAGGCGTAAATGGCCAAGCGAGTGTGAGGAATAAAGGGGGCTGGGCAGTCCTATAAAATGACCAGGGCTTGTGGGTTGGAAATAAGCTCATAGCAAACACTTAGGTAAAAAGAAAGAAGCAGTTTTATTTTGTTTCAGGATTTCTTTCTGCACTTTGGGCCATTGTCTTCTTTCACTATGAACTGAAAGAAACTTGTTAGTCACTTGTCATGTCAGATCTTTGGTGCTTGTCCTGACACAGCTGTCAGCCTTCTAGCTCTGTGCAGTTCAGGGACACACAACAAAGAGGCAGTGACATGAATTATTTATTGCTCCTTGTGTGGATAAAATTCTGTGATAAGAAATTAAGACACTTCTGACAGAGTTGCTTGTTTAGTAAGAAAGATTTTGAAGAAAGAGTGCATTTTCTTGAAGTAGGAGCATTCAGTAGGCAAAATTGGTAGACCAGAACACAGAGGAAAATAAGTTTTGTGTTTCCTATGTGAATTTGGTGGCATAGAGGGACTTTCTTGAACTACGACAATATGACTGTCCACTTTTCAGTGTCTAAAAATGAACTTCAGAATATCAAATTCTGAAGTAATTCAAAATGTAGGTGCTACTAATGGCTAGCATTTCTCTGGTGGTTTAGCTATCTTTAGTTACCATGTGTGAATACTTTTGAAATACTAACCACCTTACTGATAAAAAAAAGGGGGGGGCTTTAAGGTTTGTTGTTGATATTTGTTGTTTGTGGTATTGAGAGTTCAACCCAGAATCTTGCACATGCTGGGCAAGTATTCTGTTACTGAGCACATCCCCAGCCCTTTTTATTTTTATTTTGAGAAAGGCTCTCTCTAGGCTGGCCTTAAACTTGGGATTCTCCTGCCTCAGCCTCCTGAGTATCTGGGATTATAGGTGTATACCACTGCACCTGGCAAATCTTGGGTTTTTAAGTGGTGAGATCTGGGAAACTTGTAGAAGTACTTCWGTAGCTAAACTTGTAACTGCATTAGCTTGTTCATTATTCACTGTATGGTAAWGAGTGTGTTTTAATCTGAGTGCATTGTTGTTCACATTTTCAACTGAAATATCAAAACTCATTTAAAATTCCTTTTAACATTTAGTGTACATGCAAAATCCCCTAGTTACAAAGTTGAATGTGGTCAGTCTTCCACCTTTAATGGATATTGACCTTACATAGTTTTATCTATGCAATGCTAAATGACTACTATATTTATTGCTCCATTTTAAATGAAGAGACCAGTTGTTTGAACAGAATTTAGAAAATGAAAACTGGAAATCATTTTCCCATTACAAGCACAGTTCCAAAATATTACTTTACATGTTATTCTTTCCAATCAGTCTTTTCTATGCAGAGTTTCTAAACATCATATTATGTTAGCTTTTCTAGCTCAATGTTGTTAGTATCAACTCATTTTCATATGTGAAAATCCTGGATATTGAAGGGCAGAAAAATATATTTTAGAAAAATAGGTGAACTTGATATTTTAAATGTTGATAATTGTTAAATGCCATTAATAAAATAAAAATTTTAGAATTTTATTAATAGTAAGATTGATTTCATGAATTGTCTTTGAATACAATGAGTTTTGAATTCAAGTATATAGATTTTTTTTTTTTGCATTGACATTACTCCTCCAACACTGAATTGACTAGGGTGATCCATTTGTAAATAGGTTGCAGTCTGCATGTAGGTCAAGATTTAGCCTTGTGGAGTGGTTGCTCACCTTGTCTCCAGGGTGCTCTACCTTATTCATCATGCCATTGTGATCTCTTTATTGGTTCAAGCTGTATACCCAGGTGAGTGCCTGGAATCCATTAAGGTTGGCAAAGCACCTTTAGACCAGAGCATTCCTGTTACTTTGACCCTGCTAGTGAACCTGGAGGTCTTGTCAGACTGGGGAAAGTATCCCTCAGTAGTGTCTTTTCTTTGGAATAATTCATTAGCAAAGAGTTTTGACTCACAGGTGAATCCCAGATTGAAGTTTCTATCTTAGACTCTGAAGTCTACTTGCTTCTTCACTAGCATTTATATGTTCCTGGAACCTGTGGGAATAACTTTGCTGTCTAGTAATAGAAGCACTGAGACAACATCATGAACTTGCAGCTCCCTATTTTTGTGATGTTAGGGCCATTAGTCTTTCTTTGGCTCTTTAAGGCCTGGTTGCTTCTGAATCTAAAAGATGTTTCCACAAAAATAGTTCAGTTAAGTCTTTTGCTAGTTTGCTTCTTGTTAACTGTTTCATGCACATTGATTAAAGCCCAATCTTCATTCTCTAGAAATTTTTTTAAAAAACGATTCTTTGCCCTTCATCTGTACATTCATCATAATAAAAACTTTAAAGAGTAATGTTCACAATTTTTAAGCAAGTGGTAATGAGAGAACTCGAGCTTTTATCACTTATCAGTTTGGAAAACTGGGTTTTACTTTCTAGCATATGAGGGAGCATGCACTTAAAAGGAGCTTCAGCTGGGTGTGGTGGCAAATGTCTGTAATCCCAGCAGCTTGGGAAGCTAAGGCAGGAGGATCATGAGTTCAAAGCCAGCCTCAGCAACTGAGAGGTGCTAAGCAACTCAGTGAGAATCTGTCTCTAAATCAAATACAAAATAGRGCTGGGGATGTAGCTCAGTAGTCAAGTGCCCCTGGGTTGAATCCCCAACACCCCGCCTCTAAAAAAAAAAAAAAAAAAAGTAGCTTCAGCTGCAAAGAGTAGTGACAAGAGTGAGCTTGGAAATCCAAACAGCATATTCACATGAGTTTACACATAATTCTGAAGTGGTTTATAATTAGTATGCATTTTGCCATTAATAGAACATTTCAGTGGTTTTTATGTAGCACGTTAAATGTGTGGATCTATATACATCATTGTCAATCAATATTACATTTGCATGAATCTGATGAACAAAACTAGATTTTGCATATTTTTCCAGARGATAATACGTTGTGAAAATCCAAGGTGGATTTTTTTCTTTTACTATTGTGGCTCATGAATCACCAGTAAAAACCAGGTAACAGAAAGTAGGACAGATTCAGGACTGGAGTGTTGGAGATGGCTGATGATGATGCATGAAGCAGAAAAATGCGGACCGTGTGAGCAGCACATCAATCATAGCCACCAAGAACACACTTCCTATGGCTAGTGCTAAGAAAATGTTCTAGGAGGAAGAACAAYTTCAGTAGTCGTGCATATGTTCCTTCTTCTTGTTGTGTTTAACAGTATCAATATTTTGATTAATTTGACCTGAGGGGAAATTTAAGCATTGATGTAATGATTTTTTAAAAAGAATATAATATTTTAGGCTAATTCACACACAAGCACACACAGGCACACATATGCCCATATACATTAAGGATACAGTATTAGTTAAAGTGAACCCATCAGCTTTTTAATTTTTTTTTCATAGTAGCAGTAGGAGTTACTATTCAGCATCACCTCATTAACATAAAATCATTAATTGAGGCACAATTCTCCAATTGATTTGATAGTCAAATTAATTCAAGTAATGTGTTTTTTTAGCCATGAAATATAATCACTCAAGCAGTATAAGAAATAATGTTTTTTGATTCTATACATCAAACCATATTTCAATGAATATTTAAAAGATTTGACCCTAAAACTGTAGTTGTGGGTTTCTCTAAGAATCATTAAGTGCTTGAATTTATGAAAGTTTAGTAATTTCAAGCCAGATTTGTCTTGTTGGAAATTTTCATTTTCTTTGGCAATTAAGAAAAACTATTAATCAAGTGAGTGATTAAAAATGTATTTGCCCAGTTTATAAGACCASAGTATTCATTATTATATCAACATATTTTATTTCAAGACAGAAAAAAATATAGAAATGGTAGGCAATGACATCCTTTCTTTCTTTCCTGATCCCCTTACTCTTTCCTCCCTATTTCTCTGCCTCTCTCCCTCCTTCCCCTTCTTCTTGCTTCTTTTCTGTTATTTTTACCATATAACCCAGATATCCGTTTTATTTCTAGGTGATCCAAGGCATCATTCATGGATGGCAAAGGTGTGCTCCTGCAAGGTGTGCTAACTAGAATCTCACTGTGGCAATGGATTTGGACAAACCAAGAAACCCCCAAACAAGCCCTTGCTTTATTGTCACATAAAAGCAATGTTGTTCTTGGTCTATAATTTACTAAAACTTTAACCAGAGTGTCCTGAAAGTATAAAAACAAATTGAAAATACCTGAATTTTCCTTTTAGAAAATCATTGTCTAAATCATTCCATGTTCCTCATTTTCCTTAATATCTCCAACAAGGAATGCCAGCCCACACATACAAATTGAACATTGCTTTAGATTTGCTTCCATRTTTTCAGTCCCTGAATTATATAATAAGAAACACTTCTCAATTTAATGTTGCTTCAATGTGTTTAATATAAAACTTCACCAAATTTGACTTGTTAGGTTAGAACATTTTGTTTTAGTAGATGCCTAATTGACACCAATCATTGCAGTAAATCGCATCCCCAAGCATGGCATGTTTTGAGTAAATGAACAGTTTCACACAGTCATCAATTTACCCAAATAAGTGATACRTGGTATGGCAGTACACTGTACAGCCTGGTTAATTTCTAATGACACTGAGGCTTTAGCAAAAGGTTGATCTTTTGGGCCATATAGATGTGAACTAGAAACAGGGAATCTACTTATAACACTTCACAATTGATTCTTATTAAGTATATACTCTTACAGTTCTTTTCCCAGAAAGAAGCTTGACTAGCAGGAATTCTAAAACTAAAATATGCAAAGCAATATAAATAGAAATTGACATAAAGTGCTCATCTATCAAGGCCTTTAGTGATCAGATTTATTTGCCGTGATTTATACTATACAATTTCTTAACTTATAGAAAATCATCAAAGACTATAAATGTGCATATGTTATGAATACAAATATTGCCTAATCTGTAGGAAAAAAATGGAAATAAAGTATTAAATATATGAAACATAGTTCTATCTCAGGGAATGTCAAGTCCCTTCAATTTAGCAGACACATTTTTGAGCACCAACTTCAGCTCCAATGCCTGGGTACAGGGTACAGGGTACAGGAGGCAGGGGAGATGGGAGATAAGAGGACTCTGTGACTGAAATGGAATAGTCTTTGTCTTTGAGGACTTATAATTAATGTTTGGCCTGGATGAATATTCCAGACAGAAATTGAGTATGACCCCTTTAAAGCCAATTAAAGTGTGTGCTCTTTGTTTCCTAAAATGTACTGCCCCTGCTTAAAATTACTTTTGAGTTGTAATTCAGAAACTGTAACATGTTGTTAATAAGAACAATAGTGAAAATTTTTCATCCTTTGRAAAATTGCACATATACATTTTCCCACTTTGGAAAAAATCTACTTCTAACAAGTTTCAAAATAAAGGAAAGTAGTAAGTTAGGCAATGGAATATATTTTCTTGCATGCTGTGTTGTGGCTCTCAAGCCTATTAAAAGAACTCTCAAAAACACTTTGATGACAATATCAAATGAGTGTATGTTCTCTCAAAGGGAAATTTTAATTATTAAACCTATTTGTATGCTCAAGTTCTGGTATGTATGTTGAAAATGAGATTTATTATTTTTATACCTATATTCTATTATTCTCCTTCTCAAAYAAGAGTAACAACAAGTTTAACAGATGCTATACTTAGTATATTTTGGTKGGCAGGAGTCTAAATTAACCAATAATAAATCCCCAATGATTATTTTATGATGTCACCAGCTATCAGAAATTAGAAATGGCATAAACTTGACTTTAATGAGTAGGAGTTTTACTAATTCTGGAGGCCAATATTATTAACTCTGAAGWCYTAATTTCTAAAAATGAGAGTTGTAGAGAAAATTAAATTATGCTACCCTAATATCCATGTGCAAACATGCTGATGTAACAAATCCATTTGTCTGTTTTAAAATGATTTATTTTATTTATATTGACTTACATTTAACATGTTTTAGTACTTTTCATTGTAGGGAGACTTGAAGTAGCAGTTACCATGCAATTCATTAGATTAACCATGCAGTAATCTTAACCACTTGGTACCAGTTAAAAACTCATGATGCTTGATCTGGTGGTTGTCCTTTTGAATGCCTATCCTTAGGTAAACCACTGTGGTAAATGTATTAGTGAATATGTTTGTAAACTGATTCTTCTTGTCATTATAATAAACAATTCATAATTCATAAAAATATTATTTTGTGGTTCTTCTTTGGTAATCATCTCGGTGATAAAGATAAATTGAGAGAGAAAGAGAGAGTCATTGTCCAAAGGAATATCATATTTTCAAATTTACAAGCCTGGATTATTTTATTTATTGGGGAGCTGTACATTGGCTATGTGGGATGTTACAGAAACACAAATCTGGRAAGCATCTAGTGTTATGAGAGAAGCTTCTTGCTGTGTCTCCGGGTAGCACAGGCTTCTCAAAGGCTTATTTTCTTATCTGCATTGAGGAGCTTCCTCACAGGGGTGGTCCAAAAGCACTCTATGAGATGGTTCAGAGACAGCAATCTGAATACTATAAAACACTTCCAATACAAGGTAACATATAGTATTAYAAACATGCAACTAGGGAGGCACCCCTCAGGCCTTAAATATTCTCTTARTATTTTAGAAACAAAGTTAAGCCTACTTGGAACATGTCCCTATTAGTAAAATGATAGGAAAACACTTTACTAAATGTTAACATTCTATCTTTAGATGGTAGCATTTGGGGTGATAATAATTGAGTTTTTAAAAATTGTTTTATGTCATATGTTTAAAAAGAAGATTCAGAAAACATTAATTTAAATTGATTTTAAAGTCTTATTYTCACAGAATGGACTTATATAGTATTTTAAATTGTATGTTGTATAGGTTTTGATTGCTTAGTTATTTAAAAGCAAYGTTAAACCCTTTTATCTGCTCCAAAATGTTGTCATATGTGTATGTGTGTATACAGATACATATATACCTATATAAAGTGCCCGAAGTTTCATTTAATGCAAAAGTCACTGCTTTTTAAACATTTGCATAATGCTGAGTGTTTTTAGATATTTTTAAAAATGGCTAAAATCAAATTAGTTAAAACTATCTTGGTTGGATGCTTTTTAGATGACATTAAGTCACTTCACATGCAGTGGTTTCAGGAGCACTTTGGTCAACAAGGATTCTACAGGTGAAATACAGGTGAAAAACATCAACCAGAAAAGAACAGGTCTCCCAGTAGAACATGCCACTACTGGAAACTCCCATCCAAAATTTGAACCCCTGGAAAATGGCAGGTGTCATTTGTCCCATTAGCAGGGCAGGGACCAGGGTGAGGCCTGCCTTAATTCCTTTTTCTCTTTTGACCTCCCTATCTACTGACTTTCCTAGAACCTATCTTTAGAATTTTGATATCATGGACTTTTTTCAGCAATTAAACTTTCATAGATATTATCTTAAAATGTTTATCTAGATTATCCAGTTTTGTACCACTCCCTAGTATTGGGCCCTGTTCATTAAATCTAAGATAAAGCCACCTTTACACTAGAATGCATGTTACACTTAAATGGCCTGTAACAATTGCATCATTAAGAGCATGATTATAATGATACAAATGGTAAGAATTTGTATTTTAATACTATGTGGAAACAAAAGGCATAGCCCATTGAAAATGTCTGAAGTGACTTCTAGTGGTGTATGGAGGAATATTGAACACAGACAATTCTTTCTTTTGATGTTGCTTTTCTAAATGCTTTTTCTTCATTGCAGAGAACATATTTTCCTATCATCAATTTTAGGGATCCTCTTCTGTCTTCAACATCCTAATAATTTGAAAGGTAGCAATGATATTTATTCAAGAATACAAGATTTTTAGCACCAAAGATTATTAGTCATTGTTTAGTACAACATTAGGTCTAAATCTGCAAAATGCCAAATGCCAGCAAAATGCCAATATTCATAACATTATATAATAGCAATAATTACTTGGCACATGCTTCCAAAACCCATCATTTATTCACTTAGTAATCATTTTAATTGCAATTATCTAAAGGCATCAATCAGGTCTTCGATCTTCCCTGTGTATTTTCGAGGGTGAAGGTGTTTCATATGGCCTCAGTAACAGAACATCATGGCCTTGGATGTTGCCTTCTAAGATAAAACGATGGTCTATGATGTGTTCTTGACTTATCACGAGTTTCCTTTAGACTTTTAAAGAGATTTCCTATTAATTCTGCTGTGTCAACTACATTCCCTATCAGAAATAACCTGTCCTATTATCAAAAGAATTCTCAAGCTTCATCATCTGCATTTGTGTCAATTTACAGTTATCATATACTAGGGAAACATTATTTTGTTTCATTTTTTCCCCTTTTGTATTTTAGAATGTGCCAAAGGAAAAAATAAAAATCTATAGCACTGTGAGATTAAGGACCTTCCTCCTTCCCACAGACATGGAGATCAGTTGCATTTGAGATTCTTTTATAAGAAGGAAAATTTCCTCAGATTAGCCCCTGTTTCAAATAATGTGTATTTCCACCAGTCTGACAAAAACATTTAGTCTAATTCTGCAAGAACCTGAGATAGAAAGTGAGGTGAAAATAAATGCTGTCATGTCATTGGGACAGTGGAGCAAAGAAACAATCTTGAGAATTTCTAGAGTATGTTTTCATGAAAAGTATACTATAACRGAGGCCCTTCTGGGAAGGGGCTGGGTTTTGTTTGTAGTCTTCCTGCCATGTAGGTGGCAGCAACACTCAAGGCTAGGAATTTTCTTTCTCGTTCTCTTAGCTCTAGTCCAAAACATATTCTTACTACACAAAATCCTTGTGGAAGAGAAACGGTTTAAAGTGTAGAGACAAATTTCTCTCTGTCTTCGCCTATCTCTAAACCACTATTTTAAGACTGTGCTTAAAATGGTTCCCATAATGTGAAGACATTCATCATTTCCCCTAATACAGAAGTCATATTCTGCTCTCATTCACATTGGTAGTTTTAGGTTTCTGTTGCTTTATTTACTAAGATCTGACTTCTCTGCCTTCCCAGGCTAAAGCCTTTCTGCAGGGAAAAAGGCAGAAAACAGCATTCGTGTAGTGCTACCTAAGCTTTTTGGGAAATAGTACAAGGCTTTAWTTCTTTGTAAAGATCTAAGAATCCAGGCTTTTGAGTGACATGGGGAGATCGTCCCTTAGTCTTCAAAATGAAGCCACTGTCTCTCCTAACTTTAGGTGCCTGCATTCAAGTTAGTTCTGTGTGCAAATGAAATAAWGGCTACATACCTGCAGAGCATCTCAGGTCACCTGGAAATGAGGCCCAAAGGCACACAAGGCATGCGTGTGGGTGGATGAGGCTACAGGCACTGAGTCATTGTGAGGACCTGGCTCACCGCCTTGAAGAAGCTATTTACTCCTGTGCCTAGGGTGAGATGAAATCAGAATGCCTGCCCTTCTGTACGAGTTTGCTCTTCCTCAGTATTGGAAATTGGTGAGCCAATAAGCTTTTCTTCAATCCCTGGCATTTTGCTAGAACTAGCACATTATAGCAAACATAAGTCACCTTTGTGAAGGCTTCTTCACAGTGTTCTTGTTACATAGGGTCAGTCAATGTGTCCAAAATACCAAGAAAATATACACAATTCCAGATGTGGGCAAAACAGCAAGTAAATTCTGAGGCTTCAAACAGGCCATTAAATGGTTTGGGGAGGGTGAGGAAAGTGTTCTGCATCTCCTGTCTCTCACACTAGTTTAAACCCAGCCTCCCTCCTCTTATCCTTCCACATTCTCTGATCTCTTTCCCTACATCTATATAGTTTAATGCAAATATTTTGAAAAATAAAAATAGCAGGCGCTGAACATGGARTAGAACATACTGGCACTGTATCACAGCTCCTTCACTTTCTTGCTTGCTCTTTGATATTAGAAAAATAGTTTCATATAATATTCAGAACTGCAATTTCCTCAACTGTGCATGGAGACTTATAATTTCAATTAAATACCAAGCACTATATGTATATACTATTATGAATGGATATAATATTACAAATGACCAGTATATACCCAAAATGCCTGAGAATCTTAATTTGAAAGTCATAATGGCACTCCAAGTCCTATGTGGACTTCTTACTCAGATTGAATAGGGCATTTTGGCATAATCAAGCTAAATAGATTATTTTAATAAAARTTGTTTCTTTAATTTTTATTGAACTGAGTATTCCCAGAATCAAGCTCTAGATTCACAGGTTTCAATTTATTTAAAGGCCAACACTTTCCTCAGCACAGTGGGTAAGAACAAATAACAAATAGTCAAATAATCTGTAGTCAAATAGTCTTCTGGGTCCAGAAAGATAATCTTCCATAAATGTTTTATATCAGAATAGGACAGATCATAGTTCACTTAAGGTTATATAAAACAACAAGTAGTTTCTCTTTTGACTTCTGTTAAGTGTTCATATAATCAAATGGCCCTTAAAAGTATGTTTTTATAGCTTTAAATGTGTTTGAAAGCCAAACCAAAACACATAAGCATTTCTAAAGATAGATCCTGAAACTCAGAAAGTCAGTGAGTTCCTGAAAGATTTTGTACAAAGTCAAACCAAGTATATCAAACTCTGCTTTCCCATTGAGGATGACATGTATTTGAAATGCCTTTCTATTAAACAAAACACTGAAAATGGATAAACTGGGCAGGAAATCTAGGGGGAGGAGGATTTAAAGTGGAGAGCAATAGAATGTATGAAGAGAGGAAAACTCATCCTTATTTTTGCTTTAATAAATCTTGGTAAGATATTTCATCAGAGCTCTGCCTCTGTTTCTAYCCTTTTCTGTCTTCCTCTCCTTTTTTTCTCTCTTGTAGAAAAAAAAACAAGTATCAAATATTTCTACTAGTAATAAAATGACGGTGGGAGTTTTCAATTAATATGACAAATTAGTGTCACATTCATCTCCAAGCTAATGTRCAACCTCACTGAAATTGTGGGACAACAGACATCAACCCTAAAGAMAAAGAAAGAATAGGAAAAGAATAACCAAAAAATCTTAAAAACTGAAAAGCAAATAAGTGCCTTAGGGGATGATGGCATGAATTGACCTGCTGGTGTTGCCAGAGCTCCTTAAAAT